CAGGAAGAAGGAAATACCACCAGATTTTATCCCTTAAATAGCAACATTCATTAGTGAAACAACATACCTTGTAGATTTGAAGAGTAAGACTCAGCTCCAGTTTAGGACACTTATATTTAATTCTCAGAAAAAAACAACACTAACCATATAGAAACTAACTAATAAAAAAATCTACAGAAGAAAACTGTAAAGGGAGCTTTGTGATCAATCTTAGTGAAGGCAGTCAAAGTGTCAAAGGAATTCAACAAAATCAAAGTAGGATGCCTCACATGAAAATGCAATGTTTTTACTATGATCTTCTTTATGTATTTTATCTCAACAAGCCACAGTCTTTACTTCTATTCCTCATCTTAGTAAAAAACTGATCATTTTTTAGTTTGAGATACTCTTTATAATTGAAACTGAAATCAATATCTGAAAATACAGTTCAGGGCAAAAAAGCAGCAACTTTGGACACAAGTGCCGGATTATTTCAAACACACATAATGTTACAATCAAACTGCAGATATTTCTACTGTTGTCACTTATTCAACAAAACATTTCTGCTTCATTGAAGCAAAGAATGTGTTTATTTCCTGGAACATGTAGAAACTAGTTTCCCAAGCTTCACAGAATGGTATCCCTCCCCCATCCTGTCCCCTTTCAGCTTCCCATGCTCTTTGCTCTATGTCACGAAGACAAGTAGTAGTCCTGGAGAAGGAAGAATGATTTTGGCTGGACAACCTGTGCAATTTTTTATGGTTTAAAAAGTTATATTAGAAAAAAAGGACAAGTCTGTTGTTTAAGTGGCAGTTTGGCCATAAAACACTCTCTTGGTGCCTAGGTGTTAATTTCCTCACTTCCTTGATTCTCGCAATTTATTCCAATTTAACTGTTTGTACAGTCAAATTCTACACTGAATTTGCACATAACACGGGAACGCCACTGACCGGAGATTGGTCCAGAAAGGAAGTTCTAGGAATTATTTTTTTTAATACATCTCAAAAAGTTCAATGTCACAGGCTCTTTGGCTTAGTAGAAAGCCTGTCCAGAGACTAAAGCATTCTTGTGATTCTGGTGCTTTTCTGCATTTTGAACTGAACAATACAACAGTAACCACTTGTAAGAATAGCTGGCATAGCCAACCTGATAAAAAATTCTATTACTTTAATTTTAATCCGCCATCTTCTTATTGCCAAAAGATGATAAGGAGTATGGTTTCTAATGTTTTTTTGTTTGTTTGCTAAGACAGACTAGCTGAAAACATAATGTTTGTTCTAAGAAAACAATGGTCATTTTTGGAAAATCTTCTGCTCCTTACCTGAACTATTCCCTCATCTCTCCTTAACTTGTGCCACCACAAGTTAAGTGTTCTGAGGTTAACAAACTCATTAGATTTAAAAATAACCTTTAAAAGGGTGTTATTTTGATTCTTTTTCTATCAGAGAGAATCACCATCTAGCTTACTTAAGAGTCCTGAGCAGAAAGAAGAGTGAACTCTGCAAACATAAATTGGTGCTGAGAAAAAAGAATCATTGAACCATATCTACATCACTGTTTCACCACTTTTGGACAGTCTATGGTACCCTCTATTCCAGAAATTACATCTTTGATTGATTGGGTTTCCACTCTAATTCCCAATTCAAAGGAATCCTTTTCTGTCATTCAGTGGAAAAAAAAATGTCTTCAAGTGAAAAAAATGTCTTCTGTTTACAAAGTGAACATAAACAGTAATTTTAAAAACATGCTTTCATTTCTAATGTTTAGATGCTGCCCCTGTACATAGGATTGGTATTTACAGTTTGTTTACCTGAACTAAGTAAATTAAAATATAACTATATCATTGTGTATTTCATTTTCTGACATCCTAAAAACACACATAAGTCATTGTGTCCCCTTTAAAGTTAACACAAAGGTGATAACAATTCTCCTGGCCTCTAATACTCTCTTTACTTGTTCATTATAGAATCCTTTCAACTTTGCCTCTAGCAATTCACAAACTCATTTTTTCATGAGTAAATATTTAAACCAGATCTGTTTTAAAATGTCTACTGAAAGAAGATAAAAGCAAGTATTTAGATTTATAGCTAACCAGGTAATAATCAACTGCTACTAGAAAGAACTCGATCCATGTCTTAGCTTTAACATGAACCTGTAGTCCAGGTAGGGGGCTGTGAGCTTTTGTGCCTCTATGGTAATGTTCTAAAGCAAACAAGAGATTGCCACACACCTTGCAGGATAATTAATTCATTGAAATGGGACATTTAAACTTTTCCTTTTCATCTGTAATACAAGAGTTAGCTGCACTAATATTTGACTTTCTGTTTTGCAGTGGAAAGAGAGAAGGATAAGAAAGGCAGAGAATTAGAACTTAGTTCTCTGATCACTGAGAACTTGTCCCACACACTAATGATCTGTCTCCATTTAACTTCAAGTAGCACAGTCTTAACTATAAAAATATATTCATTATTGAAATAAACTGCCAACATTTTCAGCATTAGGTGGGAAAGGTTTGCCTTCGCACACCATTATTTATACTTCCTTACAGAATCATGTTTTTGTCTTGGTCTTAAATTTTCCCCTATCTGATGTTAAGTAAAACTCAAAAGGATCTCAGTTCACTTAGCTCTATTGTAAAAAAACTTCCTAGGCTGTTCTGAGAAAGGCATGTACACTCTCCAAAACTGAGGCAGCTTATGTCGGAGGCCTGAAAACCAATACACAAATTCTGAAAAAAAGGTTTCTGAAAACCACAGTGACATATCGTAACTGTACTTCATGGTAGGATTTCGGTTATTTAGGATTTTAATGAGTGGTTAGTATGCAAATAACAAACATTTTAATGATTTCAAACTTGTAAAAGCTAGAAATACTTGCCAATTCTCACAACTTCACTGTTACCACTTCTGTTACTTAGTCAATGGTTTTGTCACATCCATGAGAGTAGGGCACAAAAACGTCTCTTATCTGGATTTACCACTGCAGCTTGTGCCAGAGAAAATGCTCTTCTCCATGGGGTTCCTGTTGCCTATTAAAATTAGTAATAGCTTCCTAATGGTTCAGTTTAGGATCCAAGCTTAGGCTCAATTACAGAAGCCAAGTCACTATAAACTAAACAATTCTGAGTTATTTTAAAAGATTTGGTAACTGTTCTTTCATCACTTTTAAAAACTAATAATTTGTGATTTTGAAAAATATGAAATAGACACGAGTCACTAATTACAGCCAAATCAGAATAATAAGCGAGGTAATTTCTTCTTCTCTGTCTTCGATTGTGCCAGAGAGCAGAATTCATGTTTGAAGAACATACTTTCTTAGAAGAAGGGAACAAACAAGAAAAGAGAAAAAAAATGTATAAAACGAATTTATGAATTAGAGATCCTAGACAAGATGAAAAACTGTTGCACTTTAGATTTCACCAACTTTATTTGTAGATAAAAAGAGTGAAAACAGATGAAGGGGATAATACCTAATTTGCCCAACTGAAGGAATTAAAATACATGTATATATGAAATGGTCTGTTTGGGTTCAAAGCCTGTCTAGAAAGACCTTCTGCAACTCATCAAATTTGAAGTGATTTGCTCCAGTAAGTCAAGATCAGCATTTCATTCTTGGCATCAAATCTGACAGTGTTTGATAGGAAGAACATACTTTCTAAACATTTTTAAGATATCATGTTGTCTACACTTCAAAAAATAGCTGAACATTTTTTAATTTAATTTCAAGGCTTGTGCTGTACACGGGCAGGAGTTACTGCTGAAAACATTGGAACTTATTTGACTTAGTCTTTTTACAGTAATCTGATTTACTGGTTTTGAATGTTGCAATCTTTAATAGTACAAGTTTTTATACGTGTGGTTTCCTGTCAATTTCTCTTAGGGTTTGAGAGGATTTCTTTATATACCTGAGATTCAGAATAATTTAATTTTTATTAAAGATTCTGTCTGAAAAATCAGGGTTTATAGGTTTATCACCCCAAAGGCACCAAAACTAGAATGGAAGCAAAAGAAGGAAATTTGGCTCATTCAAAAAAGACTAAGCAATATATGAAATGCTGAAGAATCCTTATTTCATTGAAGTTAATACAATATAAAACTATTGAAAAGTATGATTTTAACACACATTCTATATTCTTGGTTCAATTTTAATTTTGTACAATTTAAAAAAAAATAATATATTTATAAGAAACAGTGTGTCTTTTTTAAAGTAGCGTGAAGTATTTAAGGACATGACAATTTATTCTTTCTATAAACAACTGTTTCTGTTTGAAATAGGGGAAGAAACTCCTAAAACATAAGTTCTCAGTTACAGAAATAAACAAGTAAAGCCAAAGTTTTTCACATGATTATGTTGAATCATATTTATTTTTCATATTATAGACAGCAATAAATGCAAAAAGTACAAGTCACTCTTTTCATTGAATTATATACACCTGATGGGATGTAGACCATCAACAGTCTTAGGAGAAGTAGCAACAAGGCTTCTGTTGCAGAATAAAGAGGTTCTCACCTTTGAAGAGATTCTAATTCTCTCATTGGCAAAAAACAAATAGAGAAGCCAATTACTTCTTCAGGTATATAGCAGTATAAAGATATTTATCTATATTGTTCTCTCTCATTGTAACCTTGGTAGAAAGGTTATTTTTAAAGATACCAACAAACTACCCTTCTAGGGTGTTCAGGAAAGGACTCAGAGTTGTTGAGGCCTACCTGATAGTAGGCAGAGAGAGGGTCCAGGACAATTCCCTTTCTTTTGGCATTAAACAGAAATTAAAAAATTAATATGACAACATCAGAAGTGGAATCAAGTCTCCCTGATATGACAGGAAAGTTTATTCCACAAGTGACTGGTCATTTCAGGGAACTTCTCAATGATAGTATTGGATCTGTTGAAATGTTTTAACAAAGTCATTTCCTAACAAAAAATGAATTTTTAAAAGAATTCATAACTGTGACTGTCATTTTCTTTCCCAGGCTTTGAAGTTAAAAGAGAAAACACTCTAAAGCAAAACCACCACTTACAGTGAGGCTCATAGGGAGGAGGAGGATCACCACAAGGAACACACTCCATGTCTTGAAAGCCTCCAAGCTTAGTCTTTCTATAAAATCTAAAAGACAAAAGAATGAAAAAAAACCCAACAAACAGTTAATCAAAACCAGTTATTTTTTCCTCACAAAATTAATCAGGTGTTTCAACAAAATCTTCTATACTTGCAAATTTTGTCAATCTGTGCAAATTATTAGGAAATGGAAGAAAATAAAAGTAAACAAAACACAGTAGATACTAATTAATGGTGCAACAGCAGATCTAAAGTAAACTCAGGAAAAATCTAACTCTGTTAGTCCAGATGCATAGTAACTATAATCTTATGTTTACAGAAGAAATAAACAACTTTGGAGATTTCAGACAGAAATCAATATCCCGTTTTCCACATAGACTAAAACATACATGACATGTATGAAGAAACTTACCTTATGAAAGCTTACTTACACATCTAAAAAATAAAAGGGAACTATTTAATCTATATAATTCTCCAAAAATAAACAAGATATTATAAGGTGATTATTACCATTAGCAATATATAATGGATCAGATGTCAGCAACATTTTATTCTAAAGACCCTCGAAGAACTTTATTACTGAGTTTATGTTTGAAGAGCTTACTGACTACAGTGATTGGCAAAACCCTACACTCCTAAAGCAGGGAACAAGAGTAGCAGCAAATAAAAAACCAAAACTTAAAGAGTGTGATACTTCAAATGTGTAAGTATGACATCCTCTAAAGAACTTATCTAGAGTAGGTCTGTCTGTCTTTCAACCAGTCACTAGCACTAAGGCAGAATTAGCAGCTGTGGCCTGTTCAAGATAAGTACATAAATTGTTTCTGTAGAGGTAGTGGCACATTAAATAAAAGGTACTAACTCTAACTCCAGTGATGTTATATTACTAACATTGCAAACGCCATTAAAGTATGAAGTCTGTATCAGCTAAAGCAAATAGCTTTCCAACTTCTCAAGAAACCCATGCTTTAACAATGTGAACAGAAACAGATCCATAGGCTGCAAGACTGAAGGTCTTTTGCTCTGAATGAAATGTGTTATTATTTGTTTTTAGCTGACATGCTCACTTGTAGTGTTTTGAAAGTGAACAATAGGGAATGGCATGTTGAAAACCCATGCAAACCAGAAATAAATATGACTGGTGAGAGGTAAAACATTAGCTACACCATTTGGTTTGGCTAGCTCTATCTTCCGTTCGCTTAGGCAGCATCTAAACTGAAGGATGAGTGGTGGTGTGTCTACACTTCTGTTACCCAAAATGCCCAGACTAAATGACCTGTGACTACCCTTACCATGAATGACTCTCCCCCTCCTCATGTTTCCACCTTTGCTGCAAGTAAATGCAGGTTGTGGAAACAGCTCTCGTTTTAACACACATTCAACACACATATCTAGAATGCATTCTAGACCAGAATACTGAGAAGCATTCCCAGGTCCTGCAGTTTAGATTTGCCCTTAATTCATGTTTTACTGTGGCTTTTTTTTTGTTCCTTTCTCATCTTCCAAAATTTATCTTACATTGTTTACAAAAGAAGAACATCTTCTCCCTGCTGACAGCCAAGTAAGCTTTACCATACGTGTATATTAATATGTAATAAAAGCATAAATCAATCCATCATGTGGCTGCAAGTAGTATCAAAAGTGGTTGCGAGTAACATCTAATGCCTGGGGCTGCACCTTCTTATACAGTGACTTAAACTAACATTAGTTACCAAAACATTACTAAGTGATTTTAAACGAAAAGACCTCACTTCTGGCTTAAGAAAGAATAACAGAAGGAGCTTCAAGACTGTTCAGGTATTTATAGCTAGTATTTAATAAATAATTAAATAAAAGAGCTGAGATATATACATGAAACAAATATATGAACTTTTAAGCATGTCTGAAATATATACCCTGAAAATACAAAGGCTGTTATCATTGCAAATAAGTTCTCATAAACTACTCCCATCAATTAAATGACCAGTCAATAGTTCACAAAAGCATTAGAAATGCCTTTTTACAAATTCATGGCAGGCCTTTGTAATATCAGAACTTGGCCACAATGTAAAGAATAGTCTTTTAGAGATCTTAAAATATAATACTACAAACAGAGAAGATTAGCAACAGAGATCTGGGATGACTGGACAACAAATTCAGCCAGGATCATGCTCTATGAATTTATCAACATGGTGAAGGAAATTCAGGCACATAAACCACAGCCACTGCTTTTGACCTAAGAACATCTGTGCATGAGAATTATTAAGCATTGACCTAAGGAGGGGAAAAAACCCAAATAAATAATGCGATCAGTTTTCAAGAAAGTAATTGTGTATGTTTACAAATATTTAATTTTTTATAACAATGAAGTAAGACACCAGTAACACAATGTTTTGATGTATTTTGCTCGGATGCTGTATAGACAATATTCTCATAGACCAACTAGGTAATTATCCAACCATTTTTATGGATAATTAAGATTGCAATTCTGAAATTAAGTGCTCAGATAATACAGTAAATTGTTGGCAAGGCCAAGATTAGAACCTAGGACCTTCACACGTACACAAAGGATACAATCACTTGTCCGGAAAACATTAACAAGCAATTTTAATGCAAATTAGTTTTGAATTTGTTCAAGTCTCATCTTCAGAAATGGGCTTACCCCGGTAAACACTCTCCACATAGTGCATTGCTGGTGGCAGAACAGTTGGCCTTCTGAAACCGGTTAACTAACGCACAATCCAGACAAGGCTTGCACTTCTGAAAGCCCCAGTCTTCCTTGAATCTGTTTGGCCTGCATGTCATGCACTGTGCATCCTCCCCATATCCAAAGCCGCATTCCTGTAGGGATTAACAAGCAATAGCAAGCTATTCAGTCACAGAAAGCCTGAACAAGAAGAAAATGCTGGGATAAAATGAAGACCTAGCGTAATTATTACTGAGAGTAGGTCTTTCTTGAGACAAAAGCCATCCTTTCAGCAAGTTCAAATGTGTTTTCCACTGCTAATAATCTCCCTTACTTCTATAAGTAATACTTAGTCATCCACTTTATTCATGAAACCACTGTGTATTTGAATGATAAAGGGCTTCAAGGACTCCCACAGTTTCATTATTACTAGCTTATGGTAGAATTATTGAGCTGTCTGTTTTTTAATTAGGTCAGTCATGTGAAAATGCAGAAACTGGGACAAGTGAAATATAAAGGCACTTAGTTACAAAAACAGCAAAGAAGCACTTTGATATTAAGGTTCATAGCTAAGGTGAACAAAGTTAATTGCCAAAGAGAGTGCACTGATCTTCAAAGGCTTAGAATTTCTGTTACCAAATAAACCAGAGCTAGTTAATGACCATCAGCTAGGCATGAAACGTTGCTTAGCCACTAAGAATTTCAGAAACTCGATCAGCTCCAGTCCTAACAGTTCTTAAACTGTTGGAAAAGTTCAACAGTTCTGCAGATCTGCATGATATTTTACTACACAAGGAATACTGTTATGGTTGGTTATTTATCCCAGATTTAGCTGTTTAAAGAAATTATTTCCATTCATTTGCAAAAGAACACCTAATACCACTGACAAGCTGCAAAGAAAAACACTTAACAATACGTAATAGTCTGGGGACTGAATTCTGTAAACTGATTATCAAGAACTATCAATCTGCTTCTTAAGAGTTATCAAATTACTAAGAGTTGCTATTCCCTTTTATCATCTAAATATTAAAATAATTTTTTTCAGTACTTTGGAGTTAAGATTTGATGCATTAGTGTCACACTGGAAAACAGCAAGAGGAATGCAACAAATTGCTGGAAAGGACTTACTGGGGAGTGAGTAGGTGGGAAAGGCATAACATGGGGACCTTGTTCTCCAGTATGTGGTTTCAGTAGAAGAATAGGGAATTTTCCCAGTGGGGAAACTGCAGTAAATCTTCAACTTGGGCAACTTAAGGTTTCCACCACAACATACGCGTGTTTCATACATATAAACAATTTTTCCCTAAGTCACTAACCTAACCCAATCTGCTGCAGTAAAAAAGCTTTGAACCTTAGAAACACACAGGATTCTCCAAGGTTTTGCATTGAGACAGCATCTATGGGACAAGCTCTGTGATGCAGTTGACCAATATGTATTTTACAGTGCTTCTACACTGAAATGATCAAGTAGCGATACACAACTTCAGATGCATTTTACTGGACATCTAAGAATTTTCTATTTTCTTTTATGTTAAGAATAACTTTACTCTCCTCTGAAGAACAAGTCCTCAAGTACACAGAAAGCAAACAATTCTATGAAAGCAACTACAAATGGACACTAAAAATAGTCTTCCTCCTCTGTCTCTAGACTCAGAAACATAACAAGTTTTAATTTTTGGTTTGCTTTCTTTAGCTGAAATGTAGTTTATTACTCAGTCAAATGATGTATATTCGGATCTTTTGATAAATCGCTTGGAATCAGTCCCTCCCAAGTTCCTAGCAAACTTTCAAATATAAGGTTTAAATTAACTTAATTATAAGTTTTCCTTTCCAGACTACCTTTGAAGCTTCTGATCAAAACCAAGCAGGAAATGAAAGTCAGAATTAAATTCCTTCACTCTCTGGCCCAAACTACCAAAGCTTGAGTAAATTGTTCCTAGATCAGATCTGCTTTGCTATAGCTGGATGTATGGACACATCTGAGTGGTCCTTTATATCATGGAATGGTTTACTTAAAAGCTATAAAAATGGTGGATGAAATATAAAGAAATCTTCTGCCCAACGAATTTACAATCTTTTCAAAGACGGCTTCCAAGTCCTTGCCAGGAATTCTTCAGATACAATCCATAACAACTAAAACTTATGTATGTGCTTTTTATGTTCACATAATATTTGAGGTAGTTAACTGCCTGGCAGGTGCAAATAAATATTTAAGCTTGTAAACCAGGCAGAACTTCAAACAGATCTGTATTCATAATTAACCACATTCCCCAAACTGAAGGATATGATTTAGATGATGGATTCAAACTCTTTGAAATCTTGGACTTTATAATTTAGCCATCCAGCAAAGATACAAACAATTGACTGTTCATCTTTTATCAGTACATGTGCAAAACTGATGTGCACCATTTTTTCAGTGCTCTGTTTACAAAGCTGTCAAGTATGGCTGATGAGATCTGAATAGTTCCCAACTCCCCTCACCCCTTCTATCCTCCCACTCATATTTTTAAAAGAGAGCTCATCTCCTGTGCAGTTCACCTCAGGACTGCAGAACAGAGAAATAAAACCTGTAACATCAATTACCTAGATTTCAAAAAACCATTTTTTTATTTTTGTGCCAGAAAAAAAAAGCACATAAATATATGCTGTCTTTGTATGGTGAAGCTTTCTGTGAAGAACACTTTGCATGCTCTCCCCTTTCCACTTTCACTTTTCAATGGTACCAGGCAACATTAATTAAAAATTTCTCTCTCAAATGACACATAGCACAAGTCAAGAGATGCGAAACACTAATTTAGAAAACTGCCATTAAAATTAATTTAAAAAAAAAAATCTTCAAAATTCAAATGCACCTCTAGTTTCTCAATACCTATAGAGCTTTCACTATCATTATCTTTAACATATGTATCTCCAGAACAATTTTTCTCAGAAACAAACTTCAAGTATCGAGTGGGGTGACTGGTCAAGGACACCTAGGAATCTGTAGCAAGGTAGTTAACTAAATGCATAATTTAGTTTCAAGCTAAAAATACTGAAAGCATAGAATAACACAGACACCGCAAAGTACTACCATGGCACTGTTAAAATTTTCTTTCAGTAGATACTATCCAAACACTGATTCAGACAGAACAACCAGAAGCATAGCAGACTATAAAAGGTAATGGAGTTAAGTGGTATGGTTTTCCCCTAAAAGTTGAATCCAACAGAGAAAGTAAATGAACAGTAAATTAGATTTTAAACATTCTTTCAATTAAAATAACCTCATATTTCATTAAAAAATGCTTTCAGGCACCATTAAGATCATAATCTGCAAGCGCATTTTAGAATTTGTTTCTAGTTTCACTGATTATCCACAACCTACGTAAGTCCCTTGACAACAGAGCACAGAAAGTTCTAGTTAGGCCATGATGATTAGAAGAATATTTGGGTATTCAAGAAAAAGTCTTCCAGGTATTAAGATACTTCTAACTGATGTCAGGTCACGTAACAGGTTGCGGCACTACACTGGTGCTGGGAAATGAAGTCTTTACTAATACCTTTGATACATGGCCTTGTTAAATAGCATGGGGTTTTAGCTTCCTGAAATACCACAGGCTGTGGATCAACCTCATCTACAATCCAATAAAGAGCTGTATCTATCTGCAGAGGTCTCTGAGCAGGACAGGCTGCAACAGTTTGCTGTAAACATGTCAGACTTAGCTGCTTTGGTAAACTGCAAGGTTAGAGTCAGAAAACTTTCATTCTCAGTGAGTAAGATTCAACATGCCTACAGGAAGCTCACTGAGTTTCCATGGGACTTCCCCAGAAACATGCGTTAGCCTCGCCTGAGCTGAGATATGGCAGGGCTTCCTCACGAGCAGCTCTCTTGCTGATTGTTAAAAGTTAGAGTGGCTGCTAAACACAGTTGCAGCTGCTCTCGGTAACTCCACTGGGACATGTCAATCATGGCACACCACCTCTCATGTTACAGAGGTGCATGAGGATTGTTACATTCAGGAATAGTTTCCAACAGTACCTGCCTGTTTAATTCACAATTCCTTTTTCTGAGACAACATGCAGGTCTCTTCTTTCTTCATCATATACCTGGTGCAAGGAAGCAACCTGTGATACATAGCCCTGCCTTAGCAGCCATCAAGCTGCCTCTGTCCCACTGGCTCTCTGTACAGCAGCTGTCTCTTGGTGACAATATTTATCATTACTTATGTGGTGGCAATGCTGGCTTAAAGCGCTCTCCCTTTCATCTCTTGCTTTTTCTTCCTTCCTTGTCATATATTGTCAACATAAATTCTGAGTTGCAATATAAGCTTGATGAAGCTGAGATATGGATTGCTTTTACATATATACAAATATATACATACACATAAATTTTAAAAAGACATGGAAGCCATGGAGTTACCCAACTTTTTTTTTTTCAAAAAAGCAAATGAAAGGTGAAAGGATCCGAAGGACTCTCATTTCCGTACTTGAACATTTTCAAGAAAAAGGTTGAAATCCAAATGATTTCTTTTTTCTGCATTAACTGTGATTTGTATAGATTTGAATCATATATAAGGTTTGATTTAATTCAGAAACACATATAAGACAGGACAAAAGGCTCTTGCTACCAAGCCACACCAATCACTATTCATGCACTGGCAAATTGAAGCCACTTAAAGAATGAAAGATATTAAATCACTTGCTTGACTACATGATGCTTTGCTTCCTATTAAATGAATGATAAATTAAATAATGCCGAGTCACATGAAGCAAACACTTCCATTTGAATCAATCCATCCCAGAAAAAAAGCACTGCTTAACAACAACAAAACAACAACAACAAAAATCAAAAAAAGACAAACAAAAAACAACTAATAACAAAAACCCCACACAGTCAAAAGCAAGCTACTTCAGTGGTTCAAAGGTTTTGCAAACATTACCAAGGACAGACATTTATGAGAAGAAAAGGTTATACAGAGATTTTTCTTTTTTTAAATGAACAAATAAAAGCAAACAAACATGGGAAGCAGCTTTCACTCCCCCATCAATTCTAAATTGTTGATACACTAACAAAGCTGGTTTTCTTCTGATGGCAATGTGTTAAAAGTACTTTATAAAAAATACAATCAACCTAAGTGATCAATGGATTTTATTTCTAAGCTAATGCAACATCTGCAGTGCTGTTGTTAGAACAGCTGATAGGGAATCAGAAAGGAATCTTTCTTATTTCAAGGAAGAAAAAGTTACTATAAAAACATTTTTGAAAAGGAGAACCCCACTAAACTGTGGCAAAAGCTGAAAAGAATAGTCTAGATTCAGAACTAGAAATAAGGCTAGATTTTTGGTGGTTTGATTTAGTTTTGTTTCACGCTCTCAAGGGTGTATGGAATTGCTTATCTTTACAGACAGGAAAGTCAATTGAATAGGTTGAGCATTGGTTTGCAACTAATATTAAACACTCGTCATAGAATCATAGAACAGCCAAGTGAGTGGGAACGTTGAAAGAACACCTGTTTCACAGTTTCTTGGGTCAGGGACCTGAACCAAGATCATCTTGCACCCTGTCCAAGAGTATCCTAAAAACTTTCAGTGATGGGCATTCTACCATGTTCCTAGGGAGGTTGTCGCAGCAAATTTTTTCTCTTTGTAAAAAAATTCATTCTAATATAGAAATAAAACCTGCCTCCTGGTACAACTTGCACTCATTGCCCCTTGTCTTGTCCATGCGGTGCCTTGTGAAGAGAGAGCTTCTGTCCTCTTGTTCCATTTTATGGCCTCTGTCTACTCTGTTCCACCAAAAAATTCCTGCATTTCCATGGGCAAGTTGATTTATGTGTGTCTCATGTATAAATTGAGAAAAGGCAACAGCATTTCCCCAACTTAGAGAGGTATGAAATGTTCACATAGTATAGCAACAAAGGTCATATATGTATTACTAAAGTTGTAAATAATAGTTGTAAAAAAGTATACATACACACACACATACATAAATCCACTCTGTACAGGTGGTATTTTGTCTTATATTTTTGTATAGCTACTTATAACAAGAAAAAAAATCTACATATTTAGATTGTAACTAAGATGAAGTAGTTTCTCATAAACAAGAGCAAAGTGAGGGCTCTACAGTTCAGTCCTTGACATTGGACCTATCTGCTTCAATTTAACCAGCAGGAGAAGTTCTACCTGAACTGAGTTTCAAGGGAAGGAATTAAGGACATATGTTTACATCAGTGGTTCACATGGTCCACTGCTACATGGCAGCTGGGCTTTTATATTCAACAATATAGGCTGAGATGTTTTGTTACAAAGAAAAAAGAAACTTGTCTGTCAATTGCTTAAAACATTCAGGGGGAACTGAACCAAAAAAACCTACCACTAACATTGCATCCCACTATATACTTAGACATACAATCGTGCTCACATATCCAGCAGTATATCTGGTTTTATCCATGAGCACTAAATATTTGATAGGAAAACAGACACATTACTCAGTATTAAGAAACTGTCATTAAACTACAGCATGATTACATCATTGCTTTCTCATATGTAAAAAACCCAAGCAAACAAAACTCCTCTTGTGCTGCAAATTACTTCAAGTATAATATTAAATCCCTTTTCCCCTTGCATTCTGACCTTTGACTTCACATACTTGTTGCTTCAAGCTGTAGCTCTGCAAGACTACTTTCAAGCACATTTCAATAACAGCCACAGCATCATATCCTTCGCTATGATTCACAGAAAATTGTATCTCTATTTATAAAGGAAATTATGCTTTCATTCACATTTAGATTTGAGCAAAATCTCTTTAGTTGTTTCAGTTCTAGTGTAGTAGAAAAAATATTTTTGGAAGTCTATTAATGTCTGGGAGAAGTAATTGCCTACACAGTAAAACTGATAAAGCATTCATATTTTGAGTCCTAAGAATCAGGACTAATAGTTGAAGTAAAAACATAACTTGAATAGTGTACCATTGCAAACTGTAACCTCCCTGTTTTAGTTTAGCGTTCCTTTATTAAATTGGGAGTAATTACTGAAGGTGTTAGTTTTTATGTTTTTGTTTTTTATTTGCCAGCTAGTTAAGTAAGCTTTATCAATGGACATAGTACTGGCCCACCGTTATAAAGTGCCATATTTACAAGTGCCTTTATAAATTAAAACATCTCATAGAACCTTTGAGTTCACAAATTTAAAGAGAATCTGAAAAAAACAAAACATCCAAACAAAACGACATCCATATTGTAAGCCATGTTCAAATCTCTGCTTCAACAGCACTGCTTGCATGACGAAACCTTAACTAATACTACCTGACATAAAAAGCAATTCTCACTAAAGTGTGAAACTAAGTATTCTGTCAATGCACTGAACACTCGCCACAGGGGGGAGAGAGATAGGGAAAATGTGTCACTCAATTTCAGTAAATCCCTTCAAACCATACACAAAACCAATACTTAACTTGTGCCTTTTTTCAGAGCTGAATATAGGAAGAAATACAAAGCCATAAACTGAAAGCTAGTTGTAGTTTGAACACAAATACACACTAGACATAGTAATGGCTCACATTAAATTTTCAAAACATTTTAAATTCCCTTAAACACCCTAAATTCCACCTCTAACATCCTTTCTACACTATTAGTAGAAGTACAATACAGAGTTTGCCCTTCTATATGCAAAGGGCATGTGCTTTATGGCCCCACCTATCAATTGTGGATCTGACTGTACAGTTATGTCTTGGTCACAGCTTTACACTCAACGATGGACAAGATGTAGTTTAGTGGCTGGACACTGATGAAAGACTCTTATGCCTATGCATGAGTCTTGACAGGACTGCTCACCCTTCATGATACCACCCTGCACTCTTTTGCCTGACCTTCTTCACACTTCTAGTACGACACACCTGCTTGCACAAAACACCTAATCTCCCCATGACACATAACTTCTTTTGTTGTCTCTTTCACCTCCAGTAATTGAGTTAGTGAATCCCAACATATCCCTGCCTCCTCCTTTCAGCTATGTCTTCCTTCATTGTTCTCCATCCTTGTTCATAAACAGCATCTACTTCCTCTGTGCTGAAAACAACTAAGATCCTCCTCATGACTTGCATACAGACTTGAAATTTTGCTGAAAATTTTGCCAAGTGAACTTCCTAGTTCTACTGAATCCAAGCCCATAACCTCAGTCAGCACTCATCTCCATTGATTCATTTTTGCTCTCCTAAAAAACCTGGTAACTCCAAAACTTTTATGGGGATTTTCTTTTGGAAGAGATGGAGTTGTTATAAAAGCAAAAAACAATTACATAAAACTCAAAATAAGAATACTTACATAAAACTCAAAATAATAATACTTCCTTCTCCATGACATTAACAAGGACTTCTTATGTGCTTTCTAAGTATTATCATGTGTTTTTCTGGCCTCAACTTTCTTTACGCGCAATAAGGACAGGAATTGGGTTTATAGCATTTTTAGTAATTTGTAAAACACAGAAATTGAGCATGACTTGACTCTAGCTTCCCAAAGTGCTCTAACCACTGACCTAGTAAAAACAAAACAAGTACTTATCTCTGACCTCTTCGAAGGAAATATGTCAGCTCTCACTTGAATCTTACCATGTATTTATGTACTTATGACCTTATTTTTATTATAAACCATTCTGTTAAGACAAGCTGCCATATAGAAAATATTTAAACATTGTCACCTAAAATCCAAAACCAATTGTGAATGCCAGCACTGCAAAAATTAAGCCCCCCCCTCCCCAGTTCAGTAGTCTGTACCAATCACTAGTTTAAAATTTGTTTTTCATATTCTTCTCTACACAGTGAGGTTATTCAGTGTTAACTTGCTGTAGATATTTTCCCCTTTGTAGCACTAACTCACCTTTGAAAAAATAATTTGAGAGCCCATGGTACTGTCTACTTTATTAATGGCATCATCATTTTCTGAACTGAGCATTTTATATAAAGAGAACCAGATAATACAGTTCTTGAAAAACTGTAAAAGGCTCAAATGCCAAAACAGTAATAATAAAGTATTTCCACATAAGCACAGATCTCCATTGTTTTAAATCACATACATAAACACACTTATCAGAAACAAAGTAAACTGCAGAAAGCATGATTTCCTTACCTTTGAGAGTTCCATTCCAGGCCCACACTGTTTGCAGAGGATACAGTTTCCAGTCTGGTCCCTAAATTCTTGCTCTCTGCAGTCTCCAGTCTCACAAATTACCCTACTTAGCTAAAAAAAAATCCACCAAAACCCAAAAAGGTAAAATCATCAAAATGTATTAAATCTGAGAAATAAATTCATGTTTTGATCTTAAAAATCAGTCTCTGCATTATCAAAAACTTTAAATATGGCCACGAAAATTAATTATCTAACTCCAAATATGACTTAATGGCCAGAAAATTAAAGGGTCTCAGTACTCAGTGACTTGCAATAATTTTACAATTTTCAGAAGACTCACTTGATATTTGGCACCTACGGAATGTTAAAATACTTTATTGTTTGAACATGGGTTAAGTTTCTCACCTTCACTTTAAGAAAAATGCACATGACCATTTACTAAGCAATTTTCATGACAGTAAGCTACATCACATCCCATTTAATTGTGTCATTTATTTGTGATTTTTTATTTTTCTAATGATGCTACAAGAATTGAATAAATGAGGTAAAACCTATTCCTTTAAACATATGTATTGACAAATTTTAAAAGACCACTCATACCTTTTGGAAATTTAAAAAAACCCAAACCTAAACCTGTATGAATACTATTTATTTTAAATTTTACTATCACTTTCTGTTTAATGGGCCAAATGAGAGAGAATCCAATTATCTGACTAAATCAGAAAACACAGTTTTGAGAAATACCACAAGTAGTAAAATCAGCCATGCAAAGGCTCTGGAATTTTACCCAAGAATATTAGCAAACCCTGTGAGCTCCCTGAATAGAATTTTAAATTAAATATTTATATAGGGGCATCCATTGCAGAAAGTGTTCGCCACAACCGTTACTAAATTCTTACTTTGCTTATTGGTCTTTTCAGAAACACCAAAGCCTTTCTGATAGCTATGAAGAATTAATTTCCTTGCCTATGCAAGCCAGAGTTAAGTGCACTTAGTAGACAATGTAGTTGTGTCCTATGCTATGTTCTGTCGATAAACGGAATACTCCAAACTCATAAATTATGTATATGGCATTCTGTAAAAAGAAGTGGTCACTGCAAATTCCTACCATCTTGGAAGTGAAGCAGTACCACCTTCACACCACTACACTGGTCTCTATGATCTGTCCTGGTCCGCTCCTTTGTCCACAAAGAGGCTCACAAGGTAAAATTTTATAATTGCATGTGAGGAGGAGCAAGGAATTACACAAATCAGCTGACCAAGCTTACTTTCAAATCAGTAAAACATGTATGCAATTGTCTGTGTATAGCATTTTAAGACTTTTAGTGTTAGCAGTAATTTGTAAAACAAAAGACACAATTTCTGAGTTCAAAACAGTTTTTTTCAACACAGGGAAAAAATGTTAATTTTTAACTTACCAAATATGCTAGTAAAATTACGAGCATCTTCAGTTTATCATCTCCTTGTAATCCTTTGGCATCCATTTCTTACAATTAAACCTTTCTCCCTAGAAAAAATATAAAAAGGGAAAAAAAAAGGAAAAATAATTATATTTACATTGTTTAAACTTAAATTGCAGAAGTCACAAGTCCATAATACTTCATGTCACTCAGCACATCAAAATATATACTGTCAATGCCATTAACATATTTCAGATGGTGCCCTGGAAGCTGCTAAACAACAAATATAGGCTTTAAAAATCATATTCCTTTTAAAGGTAAGACAATAAACACAAAGTTTCTATAGCTTTAATTCTCAAAAGAGACTGCTATCAGTCTAGATTAGAGAACATTAACATTTGTAAATCTAACATGCCTAACATATCTTTCTTGCTTGTTAGACGTCCAGTCAAGTATGTGATCAACAGACAAAGATAAATTTCTTCAGATATGCCACATATATAGCTGTTCATGAGAATGTTCCTTCTGTATTGCAATGTCCAGCAGAATGGGTTTGCCTAGTAACTAACACAACCTCTTCTTCCTTCATTCTGCAAGCCACTGGAGGCATACACAGGATCTGTTTCTACAACCTACCTAAAGGATATTACTTCTAAAGATGTGTTAACATGACTGTTTATGATCTGGTAGGCAAAGACCATTATAGAAGACATTTCAGACAGCATAACCGAATTACGTCCTGTCTCAGACAATTTTAATAATAATCTCAGAAAAGAAGAAAAAATGGATCATAAAGCCTTGCTTAATTATTTTTTAAGAAGCAGTAATGAACAAACAATTACAAAAAAGGGAGTTATTTGAAACAATTATGGAAAGGAAGTTCTAGATGGGGATGTTTTGTTGGATTATTTAATCAACAAATTGCATCCCCACAATTATTAAGAATATTGTGCCTGGACAACAGAACATTTTTTCTCTGCTTACTTTCCTTTTGGTTATTGGATTATTTGTGTTAAAAGTCCAGTTTCTTAATATTTGGGTTTGTCGGTAACCTGGAAATGCAACTGTTAATTTTAGTTCCGAAATCTAACAATAACAATAAAAGAATTAATAAATCCACCTTATAAAACATGGTATTTGAATTGGATCCTAATATACCTAATATGACAGTTGTATAATATAATTGCTTTCAGCAACATGCGAAAATTAATGTTTAAAACATTTCTGGCCTTCTTCAGAGCCTAAGGACTGATGTTTAATTATGCTGTTTTAAAAGACAAAATAAGAAATTTTTATAATTTAAGAGTAGAGACTGACAAATGAAAGGATGAAACTCAAAACATAAGGAAAATACTATAGAAAAATATTAAGAACAGTTGCAAAATGCTTTACAACATTGAACTATTGCAATAATATGCTTCCAAATATATACAACCAGAATGAGCATAAACTATAATTAACACAAATTTCACATTTTACTGCATGAATACCCTAGTTAACAAATTCTAATCAATAAGAAGAAAGTATGCTTCAGTGGCATTATTGATATCTTTTAAGATAAGTTGTATTTTCAAGTGCAAAAAGAGCTAGTCTCTGAGGAAGAACAGAACAGGCAAAGAGATGTGCCAGACAGCACTCTATGGGAAAGCCAAGCTTACATTTTTATGGTTATTCTCACTCAGTGATGGTAATGGCCCATAGGCCAATGACAATTATCAGATTATATGCATGACATGGTGGGTAAAAAAAGAAGACATTACATCAAATAATACAAATAAATACAGATATAGTATTCAACATAGGTTGCTTTTTTAAGTCTGAGAAAAAAAATAAGGCAAGAAACATGAAATGGAAAATCTCAGGATTAATTCTGGATGACAGAAACACAACAATTTCATCTAAAAAGTACTGTAGAACAAGTAGAAAAATGAAAAATGAGAGTCAACAAATTTTAAAAGTTATTAAGTGCGCAAGGTTGTCATGAGAAGTTTACAATGCTAATGCTGAAAAAAAATAGGTATATTAGGAACAAAACAATTTCTAGTAATAGCAAAGTCCAAACAGTGGACAGAGTAGCAGGAAAAGTACTTTTGAGGGAACTCAGAAGCTTCAAGAAATGTTTCTCATCTATTTTTTGAAAGATAACAAATGGGTAAATACACACATCATATATTATATCTTCCAGCCAAAAAGTAACTGAGTATCTGCTAAGTAAAAAAAGATTAGATAAGAGACAAATTGTGAGACTTTGCACCTCAGTAACCTTGAAAAAAGTATCAAGAAAGTTTTAATCTTGATCATGTTCAATTTTGCTATTCATTCCCTTTGGTATGCTACAGAAATTCAAGAGTGGTAATGTCATGAAAAAATTAAAACTAAGAATAGTAATACAATAAACAATTCTTTCCTGTATTACAGTAAAGCAGTCCTGTAAAACAAGCTTGACTTCACTGGATTCAGAGAAGACAAGACAGTAAAGCTAAAAGCCTAAAAGCTAAATGAAATAAACTGATTGAACATTAATTTAAAGAATCATGCAGAAATTAATGGGATTTGGGAGAAAAATCCACATTAACTTCTTGATTTCACATAGCAGCAGTGGAAAAAATAAATACTTCATATGCTTTGTTAATTGCTATAGGAGTTAAAACTTTACAGGAGTGTGAAGTGAAATAAAGCTGTAAATGTAACTGAGTTCCTTAGAATTGAACGTCAAGTGATTATTCCAAGTCATATCAATTTATAGCCATTATATTCCTTAGTAATAAATAAATAAAATATGGTACAGTTCTAATGTATTTATGTAATTATGACCATCTATATAATACTACCAAAATTTCAAAAGTAGGATTCTTCATAAGGTTAAAAGTATGTTTTATTGTAAATGTCAATATTTTCTTCTGCTTCTGAAAATAGATGTGTGACACATCAAAAAGAAATTGAAGACTGTAATAACTGTATATTTTTATGCCAAGTTTCATATAGAATTGTCAATACAAACAATACTGGTGAGCTATACTAAGCCTAATGATCTAAAATATGGAGCTGTAACAAAATCTGAGAGGTCTGTTCTTTCTGAGCAGGTTACCTGAAGTACGGAAAACTAAAGAAAATTAAGAAAAGCCCAAATAACTTCCCAGTAGATTAGTTATTTCCAATAAAACTATATTAGCTTTGTGTAATAAAGGCATATTAATCCCATGCCTTTTTTCCAATATGCAATAACCTGATGATTTAATATTGGTAAAAAAAAAATCAGTATAAACAATTTATTAAAATCAATATTGAAACAAAGCTAATTATGTACTTTCATGTTTTTAATATTCTGCAGTCACAACTGGAATAAAAAACAAGTCCTTAACAGAAGGTAGTACAGAATCACGAGCAGTATTAAAAATCTTACTGGTCATGCTGACAGCTTGTATTTCAATTTTGGAATTGCCCTGTCTTTACAAGATGATCTTGTCATAGTACATATCTCAAAGACTTTTAGAACACAGAAAGCACATGGTAAAGCATCTTGTACCAAAATACATTCTGTTGACTCAGGTGTGAAATTTTATTGCACCTGTGAAATATTTTCTATTTAAAATAAAATCTACTGCCTTTATAACACTCTTGCCAAATCCAACATCTTCAATTATCAGGAGTTCCACAACCCAGAGTAAATTTTCAAAATCAAGTGTTTTAGAACTGGCATCGACTATTATGGACTTCAACTTATCTATATGCTTTATTAAGCTCAATTTTTTGATTGATCGTTAAGAGTTTGATGCGATCTTGTAGCTTTAGGTCTAGGATGTATCTTCTATAATCAACAAATATTCCAAAAGAAGCTTGCAGGTCTATGGACCTTAAACATCAGTGCACTTCAGTAGGTTTAGCACCAAAACACGTTCAAATAACTTCAGCAGACATGTATGAATGCCTGTGGTATTGGACCACGCCATCATCATGCCCATTGCCATTGTTCCTACTAAAAAATCACCTAAGACTATACACTGATTATAACCTAAAAGAAAGAAATAAACCAGTGTACAAGAAATGATCACTGTTGAGAGCACAAAAAAATGTTTCTGTCACTACAACATTTTCATAAAAATAATGCAAAGGCACATTAATAGTTAAGGTACATTGTATTGAAAGCAAGGCCCAAAGGAGCTACAACTGTGCCAGCCACATGTTTCCTGTTTCTATCTCCAGTTTGGTCAGAAGTCCTGCTTAAAAAGCAGACACTGCAGCACTTTGCAATATGTTGCCATTGGGCAAATTTGTTCTCTCATGATATCAAGTGGCATTACATTGATGTCTGTTGGACACAAGCCATTCACCTCATATGCTTTCAAATAAGATCTAGAATAAGTTTGTGCCTCTAAAATATGTGTGAGCAAACAGAGGTTAAAGATTATTTATTCTTGTCCAGATACTGATATTTAAAATGCTTCGGTTATCTTTAATTTTATTAAAAGAAAGAAAACTGTGGACATAGTTTTTTGAGGTCAGTACATCATTCAAAATACATCTTATTAGGTTAAGAGTAATATGCTTGCTCCCTAGCAATACTAGGGAAAAGCAATCATCATTTGTAATGTACTGAACTCAGGAGAGAGAACTTGCATTAAGAAACATGACTGCATAATTTTAAGGTAGTAGGGGCCTACTTCACATATGTAAAAAGAGGGCAATATCAAACAATAAGTTAAGAATATGTAATAAATACATTGCAGAAGTGAGAACTTCGAGCCTTTCAGGGTTTCAGAATTTGTTGTCCTCCAAAATTTACTCTTATGTTTACTTGCTTGCCTGAGCAGTAGTCATCATTATATTTCAAAGTCCATGTCAGAAAAATATTTCTTCTTTCTCTCCAAAAAAATTAAAGTTCCACCATGAAAGACACACCACCTCAAGAATTAAAGCAGCATGATTAAATTATGGCTAACCAGCAGGTTTCTCACACATATAAGCACTGAAACTTTGAAGTTAATATCATCCATCTTCTAAGGGAAACTTTAGAAAGGGTAAAGCATCCCAACTTGAAATTCACTTTACTTTCCTAGGTCTTCTAAGTTTCCTGTATTAGATTTGATACTTATACTTGACGACCACT